AAGCTTTACATTAGAGATATACAATCGTTGCATTTGTTATATAATTTTTTAGCCTTGCACAGGTTATAATAGTGCATCCTTATTAGATAAAGGGGTGAAATCCCTCTTTATACTTTATCCTGGTTCTATAAAATTTTTTTTTATTTTTTCCTGTTTTTTCTTTTTTTGAGTTTTTTTTTATTTTTTATTTCACTCTTTTCCCTTTACCCTCTTTTGCTCATTTCCCCTTTTTAGTCATAGTTCGTTTTCGTTTTTTATAGAATTTTTTTTTTAGATAATTTCAGTCATCCGTGATCTGGTAGGACGGAGTCGCTCATAGGCCTGAGTTAGGTTTCGCACCATGATATGGAACTGTGTAATGTCAGACTTCTTTTTTGAAATTTATGTATTTATAGTTCTTATAAATATTAATAAATAAAATTAGTCATGGCGAGACCTGTCGACATTTAAAAAAAAAAAAAAAAAAAAAATATATATATATATATATAAAATATATTATTTATACTTATCCACTAAATCTGATTTTAAAATACACATCTAATAGTTGATCATTATAATTCAATCTAAAAATTGAAAGTTTTTTAATTAATAAAAGTTCAAATATGCTTAATTATTGCAATATAAACTCACATAAAACTAACTGCCTTAGTTGCTTTATAACATTAGCAAAAAATTAGTCATAAAAATAACAACAAAGTATAATATAACATTTAGATTATCCAAATTTATACAATAAGACTTGGTAATTAAAGGTATCAAAAGTTTAATTAATCAACAACAGGTTAGGCTAGAACATGAAGACGCACATTCATATTATTTTAGAAATATCAGGTCAGAAAGATAGTTTTGATTTTGAAATAATACGTATTGGTGCTTATATAGCAGGTATGACCAATTTTCCAAGTACAATATAATTGAAGAGATTGAAGAATTATTTAGTTAATAAACTTTTTAAATAAAACTTTAAAAATATTTTTGTATAAAAATCAGAAAAGTCAACAATAATAAAACCTTATAAGACAAAACCTTACGAGACAAAACTTTACGAGACAGAACTTTACAAGACAGAATTTTACGAGATGATGGAAGATTATTATAATAATTATTTTAATAAATTTAATTATGAAATTGCCAAAAGTTCAGAAACCTCAATGGAAGCCTTTTTATTATCAACTATTAGACCTAATATTCAAATAAGTTCTAATTTTTCTACTCCTTCGGAAAGCAAAAATAAAGGTAATAAAATTAGTATGAGATTTTAAAATAACCAACAATTCATTCTTATAATTTTGTATTAGCCAAAAAAACTGAAAATAAAAGGCCATATAAATATAAAAATCTATTATTTATTTGAGAATATTTTGAAAAAAAAGTAATTAATGATGAGGAATTTTGGGTCTGAAAAGTCGTTAATGAAAAAAGTAGACAAAAATATAGCCAAAAATACAGAAATATAGAAAGTTTAACAGGAAACCTCATTACATACTTTAGAGACAGTCACGGAATTGTTTCACAAGATGCTACAGAAATTTTAAAAAAGAGATTAAATATATAAGGCCATATAAACTTAACAAATTAGTTCTTATAACAGGTAAATTCTATATCTAAATGAGATTTTTATCTGATATTTATAAAATTCTTTAAAAAGCCAGTTGCCGGGTTATTTTAAAATTTTTATTATTAGAACCAAGAAATTAACTTTATACAGCCAATTAAGAACACAGGTTGAATCAATAAATATTAGATGCATGCCGGGAAAAAAGTTTTCTGATATATACTTGTTAGTTTGCCATAGATCTGCAGAATATTAGCAGTATCATGGCAGTATATTGGTAAGATATTGGGAGGTAGATCAATATTAGCAACATAATGACAAAATATTGATATCTTACTTTTAGACCCAGAGTGCTAAGAGTAAGATATCAGGTACTCCAAATATTGTGCTATTATATTATCGATATTAATTTACCCCCTAATATGCTGCTAATATTCAGCAGCTATTTGGCAGATCAATGGCAAACTAACAGAAAAAATTGTCTCCCAGTATGTATCTGATATTTATTGATTCAACCTGTGTAATAGTTTAAAAAAAATATTAATTTTTTTTTTTTAGCTACAAGATTCTAAAATTACTAAATTTGTACGAAAAGTTAAATCTCATCCTCAGTATATTCAAAAAAAACATGAAGAAGTACTTCTCAAATGAATATTATGTTCAAACCAGCCTCTTTCTACGGTTACTAGGGCAGAGAGAAAAATTCAATATGCACTTGTGCGCTCTGCACATTTTCTTCCTATACTAGGGTATAGAATGGGCCGGGCTGAGCCTGCAAATTTGTAAGTCGGGCCAGGTTTGGGCTTAGATTTTATAATATGGGCCGGGTATAAGTTTGGGCTTGTAAACTACTAGGCCAGGTTTGGGCTTCATAAATATACCCAATAATACCTACTAAAACCTGTAATACAAGAAGTAACCAATCAAAAATTAGCAAACATAAATCCAATACAGTTTTGAAAATTTGACTATTGCAGAAGCTTGATTAGACGTATCTTCAATTGGATAAACTAGATTATATCACTTTGGGTCACCAGGTTAATAAATTTATTTTATATTATGAAAGCCAAGAAATTTACTTTGTATAGCCTAATGTAGTAAAAAAAAAAAAATTGAAATAATCTAAACATTAACTTAAATAAGTACACAACCCAACTCTGTTTTAAAATTTCTTATATTTTGGGTTGTGATTTTTATTTTTATTTAAAAAATAATTGGCACAAATATTTGAACTTAATTATATTCTGGGTTGTGATTTTTACTTTTATTTAAAAAATAATTGACATGAATATTTGAAATTTTTAAATTCATTTTTATTGATACTGTTACAATACCGCAATAAATAAAATGCTACTGCAAATTGCTAATTAATATATTTTTTTTACAATAATGTACTCAAGTTTTCAAAAGCCATTTTTCTGAAAGAAAAAATAATTAGTCAGTATTATGTTTTTTTGGGTAAATGGCTTTCAGAAATTGTTTGCCACAATATTTCTAGTTTGCTAATTAGTAAAGCTAAAAATAAATATAGTACTATATAAGTGCCGTCAAAGGAAAATATCTTGTATACAGTTGGCTATTTATTGACAATCTATTATACAAAATATGATCAAAAATCAGATGATAAATTGTCGAAATATAATTAAAAGCCAGATTATAGGTTTTCCTTTGATGGCACTCAGGGACACAGAAATTGTATGATTTAGTGTGATTAAACCAAATCATACTAAATCACATAATTTTATATCATATTTATATTCTCTGATTAAGAAATTGCATATTAATTTATTCTCCAATTTAAAAATTTGGTAGTTGAGCACAGTATTTTAAAAATTGTAAATTTTTTTTACCAGTATAATTTGCAAAAAAAACACTAAATTGTACTTTTAAATTTTAATCATCAACAAATTGCATATATTATACATACCGCACGCATAATTTACAAATTCTTATCACATAAATTCTGTGTTCCTGATGGCACTTATAGTATTTAATATTTGGGCTGGCCTGGGCCCAAGCCTAATTTAAAAAAAAAACCTAACCCAGCTTCATATTTGGGCTTTTTATCAGGCTTGGGCCTTGATTGGGCTCAAAATTTTTTTTCAGGTATGTTTTGGGTCTATAAAAGCCTGGCCCAACCTGCCTATTTCATACCCTAACACAGTGCTGGGAATTGGACATGTCCAATTAAATTTTTTAATTAGACAGTTTTGGACATGTCCAAAACTGTCCAAAATTGTCCAAAATTGTCCAAAACTGTCTAAAACTATTTAAAACTTTTTAAAATATTTTAAGGGTAGGGTGAACATTGATCATTTTTACTAGTGATTACATTACTAATTTTTTTACAATAATATTTAATTGAAATCAGGTGATGATCATATGATATTTATATTGTGTAACCTAGGCAAATTTTGATTAATTTAGGAAGAATTAATAATATATGCAAGTATGTTTTTTTTAAATAATACAGGGGTTCAAATTATTATAATTAGAATTAGAAGGGTCTAATCTATCTACCCTAAAACTTTTATGAAAATCGGTTATATTTTTAAAAACTTTTATATGTAACATGTACGTTCACCCTATCCTTAAAACTAGCAATATATTAACAAAAGTTGTAAAGAAGATTACCCAAATTTTAATAGCAGTAAAAATGTATAAATTGGTTTGGTAAATTATAGGATATATATGTAAAAAAGATTTATAATTTTTTAAAATTTCTTTAAAATTTTTTTAAAAAATTTAAAAAAACTTTAAAGAATCATAAATTTTTTTTTATATATATCTAATAATTAACTAGACCAAATTTATATTTTTACTATTATTAGAATCAGAATAATCTTCTCTATAACTTTTATTAAAAGTATAATTAAAAGATTAATTGATAATCCGTGAGTCAATCGAAGAAAATAATCTACATTTACTAAGTAATTGTGACGCAAATTAATTAATAAAAATCCTAGTTTGTAAATATGAAGTTTTTTTTATATCTGATACATAACTACAGTACGTATGTACGTATGTATATAAAATATATACACTTTACTCTCACTATACCAAATCCTGTTAAAGTGGCTCTCTTATTATATGTAGCAAAGTAATTTTCTAAGTATCATATTTTACTATTTATACTATATAATGCAATAATAAATATTCGTTATAATAGTCCTAACCCACTTACTATTATTCAGTAACTTGTAATTAACTTTAACTTGCCTGTAAGCTATAAACAAATTAGTAGATTTGGCAAAACAAAAGTTTTGCTACTATTTGGTAAGCTAAAAAAAGCTTATTTTACTAGCTTGCCAACCACTTAAGAAAAACCAAACCCACTTATTAAGATCTAATCTACGACTTTTTTAAAACCAATTCCACCACTTGTATAAACCAACTTTCCCAACCTATTATATTTATAGTTTAGAACAGGCTTATTTGTAGTTTAGAGCCAGCCTACCGATTTATAGTTTAGAGCCAACCTACCGATTTATAGTTTAGAACTAGTCTACCGATTCATAGTTTAGAACTAGTCTCCCAAATCTAACTCAATTAACCAACTAGTAAAACCTATATTGAATTTAAAATTTAAAATAAAAATAATTAAAAATGGTAGATTTATATTAAAACAATTATTTATTTATTTTATTTATTTTTGTATACTATAAATACAGTATTACATTTGCTCTAATTAAAACTAATTCAACTTGATTCTTAAAAAAAAAATAAAAGTCAAATCAAGATTATAAATACTTATTTACTATTGTGCAATTCTCTTTTATTCGCATAAATCACGTTATTTAGTCTATGAGGTAAAGATTATTATTAATTATGTAAAATAGGCAAATCAACTAAAAACAATAAAGTTTTATTTACCATCTCACAATACTTTGCTTTCAAATCATTTATTTGAATTAACTATTAATTCAGTAGTGAATATAAATACTATTGTTGGCAAATAAATCATCAAATTTCACAAATAAAAACATAAATACTTATTTATCATCCTTAATATTGTTTATTCGCATTAATCATCATTATCATTTAGCCCATGAATATAGATTGTCACTAAGTGGAAATTAGCAAAACAAAAAACACAAATCAAGTCATAATACTTATTTACCATTGCGCAATGCCCTTCAAATTGGTTTATTCACATTAATCACATTATTTAGTTTGTGTTAAGATCATCAATTAACAAAACTAAAACCAGAAAATAAACATAAATACTTATTTACCATCTTAATATGCCTTCAAATAATTCCACCCGTATTAACCATTTCATTTAGCATATGAATATAAATATCATTAGTTAATGAAATTAAAGCATATTATTAAATTACAAATAAAGGCATAAATACTTATTTACTATTCTTTAATCATTTACTTGCATTGATCATCTTTATTTAGCCTATGGGTATAAAGTAATTTGTTACTAAAATCAGTGAAAATAAAAAAAAAAAAAAATAGGAAATTAAGGTCAAATCAAGACGTAAATACTTATTTACTATTGCAATGCCCTTCAAGTTGGTTTATTTTCATTAATCAGCTATTTAGTTAGTGAAGATAAAGATTATTATTAATTGACAGAATTAAAATCAGAAAGTCAACTAAAAATATAAATACTTATTTACTATTTCACGATATTTTCAAATCATTTCATTTACATTAACCATTTTATTCAATATGTGATATTAGTTGGTGAAATAA